GGGGAGAGGGCACTGCCGCGCCGGCCACTGGCGTCCACAGTTTGAAGCGAAGGATTTAAAGACCGGAACAGGGCTGGCCCGGGCACGGGGAGTGGAGAGGAGGAGGAGGGAGAGGAAGAGACGCGAGGCTTGGACTGCGAACGCCGGTCTGGGCTGGGGCGCCGGCAAAGCCCGGGATCCGCCGTCCTGTCCGTCCGTCCCCCCTCCCGTCCTCTGTAGCCCAGAGCCCAGAGGGGAAGAGACGTCCTGAAACAAAGCTTCGAGTCTTCCTGTATCCCGCTTGGCTGACAGACTAGAAGCGAGGAGCGCAAAAAAAGTGAACTCTGCTTTCGGCGCCCGCTCTTGTCAGTTTCTCAGCCCTCTTCTTAAACATAGGTTGTTTGTGTGTTTACTTAGCTCTTGGGAATAACTATTCACTGTGTTGATTTAAAGAGCCGCGTGTTTGTGTGTCCGTACTTGGTGGTTTTTGCGGGGGTAATCCAAGACCTAAGCCTTTGTGGACAACAGACGTGTCCCTTATGCCTGGGCAGTACACTTTTCATTTGTATAGTAACGGCGAAATCTGCCAGAATGCAAAGGTTTCTGAGGGAAGCACCCAAGTGTATCCTAGGGGTTACAGTGAGATTAGGCAGAGAGGAAGAACATTATGTTTTTATCTAGTGGAGGAAAACCTATTTCAGCTGTTGGTTGTTATGAATTGGCTCCTAGTTAAGCTTTTTTGACTGAAACATGCAAGGTTTGCATCTTTAACTTTTAGATACTACGAGCGTTGCTTCTAGCCTTACTTTGTGTAAGGTTGGAGAATGTAATTTCACACAATTATTGAAAAGTTTAACCTGGGACTCTTGGTTTTGTGATGGGTACGAGTCAGCTTGTTCAGTTTTCTGTTGGGTAGATATTTTCATATCCAACTAACTTTTCTTTTGTATTTACCTTTCAGAGCTCTGAGAATCCAGATGGCAAATTCTATGAATGGCAGAAACCCTGGTGGTCGAGGAGGAAACCCCAGAAAAGGTCGAATTTTGGGTATCATTGATGCTATTCAGGATGCAGTTGGACCCCCCAAACAAGCTGCAGCCGATCGCAGAACTGTGGAGAAAACTTGGAAACTCATGGACAAAGTGGTGAGTTCTGTCTGACTAAGCCTCTGCACAGCCTTATTCACCTGGGTATGGGTTCTCCAGATTTATTTATGCATATTCTTAATTCATACTTATTGTTATGCTAACAGTTTTCTGATGTGTATTACCATTTTTCTTCCACTCTGTGCTTTGAAAAGTTGATTTCAGAGCAAGGACTTGTTTTTGTTACCTTTTGTCCTGCTCTTAAGGTTCAGAGTTCCTCTATATGACTCAGATATGCAAAGTTTTTACCATTGGCTGCTTTTTGTGGGTGTATGGCCTTTGTATGGTTTAGAAGTGTTTGTTCAGTCTTCTGTGAGGCTGTGTTGCTTTTCGATAACAACAGAGAATACTACAAAAAAATAAGAGGAGTCTCTGATGGAACAGAGACTTATAACCATTACTTGTGTAACCTTTATCATAATCACTTGTGTAATGCTGTATTTATTGAGGAAGGCACCAAATTAATCCTCAAGTGGGTAAGCAGTATTTGAGACTTAGCATTTTCATCTGTGAGAATTTCATGTTTATTAAGAAACTTTTTCATTGTTATGTACAGGTACAGTTCCTTTTATCTCCTATTCCATTTTGAAACAGGAAACCTTGTCAATTGCACATTGTTGTGAAAGGAAAATTTATGTTGAGGGTGGTGGAGCTGAGAGTATCATCAACTTCTGTGGTTTCTGTTTGTTGCTTTCAGATGAACTGTAATTTTGCAAGGAGAAATCAAACTGGGTATCAGTTCTCAGAAAAGTCCAGTTAAAAAGGCAACCCAAATATCTGGGATCTACTGTAAAACTAGCTTTCAATACTAAGTATTATGAAATAAGTATGATTAGCATGTAGCTGCATTACAAAAATGAATGGTTTTTGCTTTTGAAGGAGTACTGTTCTGTATTTATTGGTAACCTTTATGGATTTATTTCATATATATTTGGAGCTCATAAATTTAGTGGACCTGGGACTTTTGATGACTTTATAACTGCAGAAATGGAAGCCTCAGAAATACTCCATTGTAGGGATATGCCGGAGCATATGAAAAATCATAGGATAGCATTCACCTTTGCTTTGGTTTGTTAATGTGTGCAAATATAGGCTATGAAGAAGCTGCTGTGCATAGTATTAGTACAGTAAGGTGACAAGATCTACTTTATTTTCATTTACCCTTAGGGGAAGTACAGATAAGAGAGGTGAGTGATGGTCCTGTCATTCTCTAGCCACTGCTGTTAAATGCAGAGCCAGAATATTTCTGCCAGCTACATATCCTTACTTTGTGTGACCTATTTAAGCTTCTGCCAATTTATTCCAATTGTTATATTAAAATGCTCCAGACAGAATGATGTCAGTGTCAGAACATTGCAACTTGCTGCTTTGGTTCAGATTTTGGTTTCAGTGTTGGCTACTTGAGAATAAGCTTGAGTATGCTGTTGGAAAAAATGCATATATTTGGCAGACACAGTACAAGCTGTACTTATTTTACTAAGGAGTGTATATCTCGAGGTCATTCTCATTATCTAAATCATTAGTTGGGGGTAAGAGAAAGAACTGAGAGTTTGTTCCAATTCATCTGTTATGTAAGTGGGCAACAACAGATGAATTAGATTTTACAGGGGAACTGTTAACTCTGTATTCATTCCTATTTTCTAAATGGTCTAACTCTGTCTATTTGTGATTGAGGGTTAGGATATCAAATAAAAACGATTAATATAAGGAAATGGTGAGCTATAGTCTTTGTGACATCATTATTGAAACCGTAAAAATGGTTTGCCTAATTTTGGTCTATAACTCTCCTTAGTATAAGCTTTATCTTCATTAATTCAGTATGAGTTATACTAAAATGGATGGTCATTTGATAGCTACCATTATTTATTTTCTTAACCCTTTTGTGTGTTTAGGTTTAGCTTCTAGAGTTAAGTGACCTGACTCACAAGGAAATTTATTATCCAAAGTCTACTTGTTGGGCTGTAAGTTGGGTGTTGGTAAAGGTACTAATATTACTACAGGTTTCTCTATTAATCTTCATTATTTGTCAGAGATGAAAATGGTAAATGTATCTGTGGGCTTTGTATAAAAAGAACACATACATTATTATAAAAGAGTTCAGTATATTTATTTTTCTATCACATGGAAATAGGAGGGCCCTCATGATACCAATTGGTGATATACTTTATTGAAGTATGTAATGCAGAGGTATCCCCCACATGTGTTTATCCTTTCTTATTTGTCTATAGTGAAGGAAGTGGTTCATGATATCAACATTGTTTGGATGATTACATCATGAACTTTATTATTAGTCCCAAAGTTAATCCCTTGACACATTACCTAACTGTATTTTTAAAAATAACTGCAATTAATTTAGAGCTTAGATTCTGAATAATGGAAAATAGCAATTTTCAGGTCTCACTGGCTGTTAAGGAAAAGGCATAGTTAAGTATGTAGTTAATATTTTTCTTTATGAAGCCTCTTTTCTAAGAGCAGACTTCAAGATATAACTACAAAGTACAATAATTTTATAAGGGACAATGAAAGTTTTAGACTGTAAAAGAAATGTCTAGAAAGTGTGTAGTGTCATCATTCCTTGACATGTAGAATTTAAAATGATCAACTGAGAATGCTGTTTGAACTAATTGTTCTGTTTTCAGAAGAGAGACTTTCTCTCCAAGGTCACTGAGAGTAAGAGAGTAAATTTTCAGTTGTGTTCTTTGTAAAATGTAGGCTGTTTTGTAACAACTTTAGTAACACAAAGTTAGCTAAGAAAAGAACAGGAGCATAACCTCATTTAGGCAGATTTTCTGGCTTTGACTCCATTCTTCAGTCTAAGTCAACAGCTAACCTAAAAGTCGTCTTCTTTTGTAGAGTGATAGAACTGCTACTCTTGAATATACCTCTCCTTTCAAATACACTCAACATGAAATGTGAAGTTTGTTACAAAGTTACTCCATAGATAGTTTTTTAAGCAATTAGTAGGCATTTATTGAAAATCAACTGTATTCCTACTCAGTGCTAGTTTCTAGGGTACAAAGCTAGTGAGACATGGTCCTGCCCTAGACTTGTACGGGAGCTTGGAGAACTCTGTCAGAAGTATTCACATAAATGGATAATTGCCATGTGGTATGGAAAGGGCTATAATACAGATTCACAACAAAGTATATAGTGGGAGTAGAAGAGAGAACATCCTCCTTGTTTTCCTGGCCATTGTTCAGTTTTCTGTCTTGATTCTGCTGGGCATTGTCTTTTAGGAACATCATTATTATGCTCTTGTTGGAAATGCTGAGGTGAGGGTAAGGAAATGATTGCTAAACAGTATGGTTAAAATCATAATTTATTAATATGAGGTTCCTGAGTGCGGTTTTCGCAAGAGTCTTAGCCAGGTGATGGAAAATAGAAAAAAAAAATTTTTTTCCATCTCTTAGATGCTAAATGTACTGAACATGTATATTTCTCAGGAAATTATAAAATAATACTAAAGAGCAAAGCAAGTTTAATACCTGCCTATGTTTTTGTCTTGCTGTCCTTGTCATTTATTGGAAATTACATTATTGAAGAGTTCTAAAATCATTTAAAAAATGATGATGCCAAATAGCCTTTTCTTGCCTTTTACCATTAGTACATTTGTCAAGCTTGAATCTAACTCATTTTCTATGATTTCACTGTGATCATAATGTATTTTAGAGAGTGTCAATCAAAGATGCTTAGATTACATTAAAATAGTAGGGAGAATTTTAAGTTGAATTCTTTAAACCCCTGAAAGACAGTCCCTAATGGGGTAAAACTTGGGTTTTCCAATTTCACTGTACTATGGTCTGATAATATATGTGGAATAATTTCAGTTCCTTTGCATTTACTTAACTATGTTCTGTGAGCATATTTATGGTCTGTTTTGGACAATGTCGCATGAGCAGCCGAGAAGAATGTAAATTCTGATATTCTAGGGTGGAATACTATGTAGACATCCACTAAGTCCATTTGTTCACAGGTTTAGTTCAGTTCTGATATTCCTTTGTTGATATTTTTGTCTAGTTGATCTGTCTAGAATCTAGATTTAATTTATTTCATAGGGAGATAATCACTGATTGAGAAGAATAATTAGGGTTATTCCTTGATATAGAACTTGTTTGACTTTGAAGTTTGGATTAAGAGAAAGAAACTGAAAGCAGGAATAATGATCAAGAAGAATTAAATGAATCTGAGCATGAGATAATACAGTTGGCTTAAAAGAATTGACAGTAGGAATAGAAAATGATGGTTCAAAAGTAGAAGGCATTTTCGAAGGTTAAAAATCTGCAGGTCTTTCTGAACCTTCAGCATTAGAGAATGACAAAGAAGGTGAAGTGAAAGTGACTCTTGAGGTTTTCAGCCCAAGTGACTCTGAAGGCAGTGATGCCCTTAATGAGATGTGGAGCAGAGGAAGGAAAAGAGGAAGCTTAGGGGTTGGTGTAGAAGTTTGTTTTGGGCATGCTGAGTCTGATCTCCCAGGGTGAAATCTGTTTTGAAGTCAGAAAATTGAGTGTGCAGTTGCAGAGAGAATTTGCTTAGAGAAGTGTGCGGTATTTGGTTGATGTGTTCAGAGGTATAGCAGCATCCCAGTCTATAAAACTGCAAAACATTAAAGAGCAGAAGAGAGTCAAAGTTAGAGAATCACATTTTTTTTTTTTAAGCACGGGGATATAATTAGATGGCAGTAGTGAAAAGAGAATCTTACGAAGAATAAGAATGAAAGAGGTAGAAAGAAGAATTGGAATATACTGATTTCCTAGATGTAGCCTATGAGCATATTCTAGTTCTAACAATCTAAGTACAAGTAAAGAAAACCATAGAAGGTGAACATTTAGGAACTCATTGCATTTCATGATTAGAGGTCATTGTTGACCTTTGCATAATTTCACAGCTATGATGAGTCTAGATTAATCGAGTACATGGATTATTTAAGAGTTGTTCTAGAATTATAACACCTGATAAAAAGAAAAATTCTGATAGTTTGAGAATTTGAAGGAGACTCAAAG